ACAAAAATTACCATCTAAATTGCATAGTTTTTCACGATTTTCGCAATTTTATTGCAAAGGATGAAGTTGCACAATCTTTAGCATCATTGCAATGCTAGTGGTTCCTTTTTGCAAAATGCAATCTTTTCCTTGATATTTTCAGACACTTATGATCGAATTACAAACAAAATTATCTAAGAAACCGGCTGAAAAATATTCAAAAATTTTCCTGAAAATTAATTGTTTGCCAGCAGAAATTTGGCAACGCCTGAAGGCTCATACGCGTTTTTCCTTAGCATGGCAAAGGGGAACTATCCAGTCGGGGGCTCCTCAATGAAATGCTGGCATAGTATTAAGGTGGTACAAATAGGGGTGCAGAGTAAAACCGGGGAGAAAAACGTTGGCTCCACCAGCGGAGAGGACCCGCGGGGCAACAACTCGTCGCGCATCTAACGTAAGCACGTATCTCAATTTCCACTTGAGCCCTGTCTCACGTATAAGCCCACGCTTCCTGGGGCTCATGTAGAGATTAAGATACGCGTTTAGGTAAGAGGGGCGACGAAGTGTCAACACGCGGATAATCGGGCGGCGAGTATTATGCGATCAGGCGCACGGTGGGACGGCCGCAATAGGAGGAACCCATTAACCGCGCTCGATCCATATTTGATGAGCCCCATTCAGCGGCGAGGACCCGGGCTCCGGGAGCCCCGCTTTTCCGGCCGCTCCAGCCCCGCGCCCCGGAGTGGCCCAGCGGCGTGGCGTAAATTGCGATGTATCGATTGTTCTGCCATCTAAACCCATGGTAAAGACTCGATTATTAAGGTGTTCGCTGCGAACACCCTGTTTATAGACCCTTTTCCATAGGTTTAAATGGTATAACAATCGATATATCGCAAAGCACGCCACGCCTCTGTTTCCGGCCGCTCCAGCCCCGCGCCCCGGAGTGGCCCAGCGGCGTGGCGTAAATTGCGATGTATCGATTGTTCTGCCATCTGAACCCATGGTAAAGAATCGATTATTAAGGTGTTCGCTGCGAACACCCTGTTTATCGATCCTTTTCCATAGGTTTAAATGGTATAACAATCGATATATCGCAAAGCACGCCACGCCACTGGAGTGGCCCTCGCCTGTCAACAGTCGTCACCCGCCGCCGGTTATTAAAGCGCTTTTTCAGGCACTTGACTAAATAGATTCCTCCGAGGAAGACGCGGCGCGCCCCGACCTCCTGAGTCCCGTGAATATTTCATCAAAAGGTTACATGTTAAAACTCTTAAAATTTTAACCCCACCGACCTCGCGCTAGACTCACTTCCTTGCATTAGCTAGTCGATTTTCCGATTCTCCTCTCTGGCTTTCGTCTATACTCCTATTCCAACATTTTTACCTCGCTCTTTCTTTACTCTTTGGCTCTCATTTCTATCGAGGGCCTCTTCAGATCGCATTTCCACTAGATTAATTTCTCGACACTTACTCCCACAATCATATCAAAGCAAATGCACGAAGATAAAAGAAGGAAAAATTCTTAAAATTTTTACCCCACCTCTCACTACACTCACTTCCTTACATTAGCTACTCGATTTTCCGATTCTCCTATCTTCCTTTCGTCTATACTCCTATTCCAGCATTTTCACTTCCGTCCTCCTTATCTGTATCTTTACTCTTTTGCCTTTCCTTGTATCGAGGGCCTCCTCAGATCGCATTTCCACTAAATTAACTCGTCGACACTTACTCCCACAATCGTATCAAATCATAACAATTTTAGTCCAAGCAAATGTACGAAAATAAAGGAAGAAAAATTCTTAAAATTTTAACCCCACCTGTCACTAGACTCACTTCCTTACATTAGCTAGTCGATTTTCCGATTCTTTTCTCTGCCTTTCGTCTATACTCCTATTCCAACATTTTTACCTCGCTCTTTCTTCATCCGCATCTTTACTGTTTTTCCTTCTGTTCGGAACTTCCATCGAGGGCCTCTTCAGATCGCATTTCCACGAGATTAACTTGTCGACACTTACTCCCTCGATCATATCAAGTCATAACAGTGGGTCAGTTGCGCTGGTCACAGAATCGTGCTCTGGTGCTTTCTTCTAGCAGATCAATTAAAAACAATGAGATCCGTCCAAACAGCAACTTTCTACGTTGAATATTAACCGAGATATCGCGCATTGAGAAACTCGATTCGCGACGTCATCCATCGCGGTAGCACATACCATGTTATGCACTACCGACGTGGATGACGTCAAAAATCCGACTTTTCAAAGGACGATGTCTCGGTTAATATTCAACGTAAAAAGTTGCTGTTTGGACAGATCCTCTTATTTTTAGCTAATATACAAGAATCAAGCATCAAAATCCGAGTCTGTTACCAGCGCAACTAGCCCATTGTAATCCGAGCAAATTTACAAAAACAGAGTAAGAAAAAATACTAAAAAAATGTGGCCCGAACCCTATGCAACGAGGTGATGAAGACTGCTGGGTCTGCACTATTTCGCTGGGAAAGCAAGGCTTTCAAGTTCAAAAATTTCAATTGAGGGGCTTTGAGGGCAAGCCGCATGAGTGCAGTTTTGGAAAAATCGAGGTATTAATGATTTCAAGTAAAACTAGTCTTAATGCAAATTCTGTGAAAAATTCTCTCCTAAATTCCAATTTTTAAGCATCAAAAAGTCAGTTTGAACTTTCTCTCCGTCCATAAAGATCCATGTAATTTTGAAACTTCCAACACGTATTTCTTGAAGTTGCAAAAACTGCGCTTATGGGCCTTGTGCTCCAAGCTGATTAATTAGAGTAAAGAATTTGAATTCTAATGAGTGTCATTATAAAACCAAGGAAGATTTTTCAGCAAGATGTTTTGCTGTCTTTGAATACATTTTACTGTTTCAAAAGAAAAATATCGGAGTTGAAAAATACTCCTCGAAGCAACTTCAAACTAAGACTCATCCGCAGTATATTTAGAATGAATTTATGCTACCCATAATATGGAGAGGTTCAGATAGGGCACTCAGAAATGACGAAAGCGACCACGGAGACGCTACCGTATAAAAAATTAAGATAGGCGGGCGAAAACAATGAAAAGGAATTTTAATGAATCCAGATTGTTGAAAGAGCCTCAGCACACCGATTTTCTGAGACCTAATTTAATCGAGAACTGGGAGAAAGAAGAGGAGGAGGCTAAGAAGACATTGCCCCTGGCCGCTATGCCGCCCAACCCTAGAGGACGCTTCTATCGGGCACGTTGTGGGTCCTATATCGACGGCGTAAGTCAGCAGTCATGTAACTCGGTTTGCGTCGTCGCAGACTTCCTGTCATACTTCATTTTTTAAACGGAAAACTACTCAACGGCAATCCTTTAAAACTGCAGTGAGTTTTCTCCACTGTGCGAAGAGAATTCTGACAAAACTTCAAGGAATGATGCCAATTTGTTCTCCTTTAAGAAATGACATAGAGGCGGAGATTTTCAGACACCGCAAACGAGATATGTGATTGCCGACTTACACCGTCGATATTCATGTTATTCTATGGAGTACACAGTTTCTTCATGGTCACTGGTTACTTTGGGCTTTTTCAAGTGACTTATTTTTTGGTGAAATCAGCCAAAAGGACTCCGTTGTTCGACCCAATTTTTGGTTTAATCGACCGAAACTGTAGGTTTCTTAGAGACGTATGGGGATCAAGAATGTTTCCAGCTGTCCTAATGTACTCTTGTTCTTCTCGTTGGCACTCAGAGGTTGCGATTCGCGCGTGGCTACTGTATTGGGCTGTGAGTGCATAGAAAACATAAAGTCCTAATGTAAATGAGAAAGCTGGCGCCACTTTTAAGCATTTTCAGGCCTCGAATTTCGAGACTCCTGTGTCACGCCGGGTCACTCTTTCGATACATAATCGATTGTTTTCGATACATGGGGACTTAGCCATTTACTGTCAACGGAGAGGATAGGAATTACTGCGTATTCTATTTACGAAGTGATGGCTACGTATATCTACGTAGCCATTTTGGACAGGGCCGGATTCTACTACTTGCCGCCCATGTTTTGCCGCCTATATTTTGCCGCCCCCTTCTCATTCGTTTTGAAACGCGTTAAAAACCATCAAATGAACGTGTCAGCGGGGGAGGGGTGCATAAGACGCATTTATTCGTGTTGAACACATTTTTTGGGAAAGCCTTGTCAACACTACTAGCAAAAGTTCACGGTACTTCGCACGAAAGCTCAGTTCCGTAAACTTATCTCTGTGTTGACAAGGCCTTCCATTCATAAGAAATGAACGAAAAAATTATGAAAGAACAAACATAAATGTGGTTCAATGATTTTAACGCGCCGCGCAGACCGCGCCGTGTTGGACGCAATGCGTGAAGTATTCACGCAGTCTTGTAGGCGCTGTGCGTTTCACGCTGACCGCACTGTGTTTGGCGCAATGCGTGAAGTATTCATGCATCCTTGTAGGCGCTATCCGTTTCACGCTGACCGCAATAACCGCACTGTGTTTGATGCAATGCGTGAAGTATTCGTGCAGTCTTGTAGGCGCTAATATGTGCTACATGCCGATCGCCGCGCCGAAGGCTTCTCCTTTTCATCTCAAGTCCTCGTTATCATTCCTCTCTAAGTCGCGCCGCGCCGTTCTAGGCCAAATTGCGTGCTTGGTTTCTCTCGTAACTCGACTAATCGAGGGTGCTATCTCTCGTATCACTAAGAGACGACCAAATTAGAAATTACTATACTCTCAGGAAATGAGAGATTTTGTCGCCTTTTCTCGTTTGTAATTTTGTTTTTAAAAATCCGATTTTTTTTTATACCTACACTTTAAAAAATTGCCAATTTTTGCCGCCCCTTAAATCTGCCGCCATGGGCCGCGGCCCATGTGGCTACCCCCTTAATCCGGCCCTGATTTTGGATCGAAATCTTAAAAACGCGCCTACCTAGAGAGCAGCTGAGCGATTCTCTAATAGCGATAAGCGAACTTATCAGAGCTTTCCAACTTGTTTGTCAATGCGTTGAGTCGAAAAAACGTCCGTGCTTTCGTTTTGCGCACCTTAATAATTCGTCTTATTTTATTTCAGGTTTCACAATGGGGAGAAGAAGCTGAGTGACCTAATGCGAGATTCCATGAGTCGAGACCCGGTAACGCCCGTCCTGTGGGAAGCGCATCTCGCGGCGTTAGATCGGCGGGTCGAGATCATTCTCAACGCTATCCGAACCTGTATCAATAAAGCTGACCAGACGGGCAACGCTCCCAACTCTAACCATGTCGATAGCAAACAAATTTCCTAGCATTTACTTAACATGTAAGCAAAAACCTATACATTTTCCTCATGAACGTCATCGGCGCGACGAAAGGTTAAAATTTCTAAATTTGCCACGTCTGCGGTGAGAGAGACAAAAAGTCTAAAAATAAAAAAAAAGCAACATTAATTTAAGCGGCAGACACACCTGTGAGTTACACGCGCTTTTTAAAAGTCAAACACCAATAGGAAACCAGGATTTCGATCGCTTGACGTCGAGCTTTCGAAATCCTCCTTGCCCATTGGTGTTTCACTTTTAACAAGCGCTTGTATCTAGTAGGTGCATCTGGGCCTTTAACTATGGGAAGCATTGCATCGAGGAGTGCTTTAAGAGAATGTTCTCACAAAAAAAACGCTACAAATGTCAAAATCGAACAGGCTGAGATGGAAAATTGCATGACATTTTCCCGTGAAATGTCAATGGAACATTATCGAAAAATTGAAAGTTAGAACTATTTTTTCAAGAAATTCGTAGTATTAAAATTTCAGGGGCGATTTCAGTCACAGGTATCATGCAGAGTAACGATGCGGTCGTCAACCTTATCACCTTGCGAAGCCTCTACTCACAATCAGCCTCGGCTTATAGGCCCCCTTCGAAAAGAAAACAAAATAACACATTTTCCTGCCCCCTCCCCCCCCTCACAAAAAAACGTGCGATGTTATCACTTAAAAGACATCATAATACATTGAGACACAATCCTGATAGTGCCTATCAGTAAATGGGAGAAGTTAATGAGGCAATAAAAAGGTTTAGAGGGGTTACAATTGGATCCCGTTCAGCCGAAAGGAACCAAGCCCCATCAGCTAATCCCAAATTTAACTGACCGATTGAATTATTTCTAGAAAACGTTTGTGCGGATTTTTTTTAAATTTTCAAGAGATTTGCTTCGAACTATGCAGACAATTTTGCACAAAAATCCGCAGAACCATTCTCCTGTAAAAAATTAAATTGATCAATTTAATTTGACAGCTGATGTAGCTTGGTTCCTTTCTACTTTACGCGGTCCAATTTAAAATCGTTTTTGGGGGAAGGCCTCCGAACCTTGCGTTACCCCGATCAGGAGCACAGACTGCGTCTAGAGCGATGAAATCTGGCCCTGCTCGGTGTAAAAAACCAAAATCGGCGGTCACCTTTCAAGCAGCTGGGCTTGAACTGTTAATGAGCATGTTGTTTACAGTAATGATAGGAGACCACGTCAAAATTGAAGGTGGTTACTTGCTTGCTTCTTAAGCATACTCTTGTAATGAAGGTTTAATTGCGGCAATTAGAATTTAGAATTTCGTTAGTCCTTGGCATCATGATCGTGGCTAGGAGGAGCTGGGCAAGTGAGGCCCCCCCTTCCCCCCCTCACTCCAGAGAGGAGGGGGCCATATCGCCATTTGTCGCTTAATACCACTACTTAGTTTTGTGAATATTTCTCTATAATCTATATGTATTTATTTTACACTCGTTTTTTTTTCAGAGAAATGTGACCTTGGTGTGATCTTTCTGTCCAAAATTCAAGATCGAGCAAACACAGAAGCAATTCATACGTTCTTGTTTTACTTCTCGAAACGTGGACTACAGTTCATAGTAAATAAGTAGTCATAACCAATTCTAAAGATGTTTGTTTCTCCTCCCATATTGGGTTTGTTAAATATCTTTTTTTTTCTTTCGAACGTGTAAAGATTTGTTTTTATGACCGTGTACAAATTTGTTTTCTTTTTTCTCTAAATTTATTGTACAGAATGCATTCGTTTTTATACATAAGTGTAATGTAAGTCCTTTAATTTGTCCGGCAAAAATTTTGTAATTTTTTTTTTAATAGACTGCATAACTCCTCCCTCCTCATTTTTCCGTGCAGGTTTTTTGGCATTTTTAAACCTCTTTAAATGATGAACTATCGTATACCGATTGGGATATTTCGTTATTTCTTATCTTTATCTTCCCTTTTTTCCAATATTTTGGTGCAATAAAAGAGTCATCTTGAAAAATAATCAAGAGCAATAAGTTTTAGGCACCTATAACTTCCGCCAGGCGATGAGACGTGTGCAAAAACGTTGCCTCAGCGTTATTTTGGAAGATAACATCATGATGACATTGTGACGACGTTTTCGCATGCGGTTTGCCAGGCGGGTTAAGATTCAACTTGGTTTGCTTCCTTCTGAAATCCCCCAACTTTTATGTAAAGTAAATGCATAATGATATTTTGAATTGTTTGTAAAATTTGGCTGTGTTTCATCTGGTTAAGTTCCCTTCAAATATCGTAAGTGTAACATATTTCATTGCACTGAGTACCTAGACGCGGAGGATCTCCTCAGAACTCAAGTGCGCGCCCATTTTCACAAACGTGAAAGAAATAATAAGAAAATAAAAATGGAAAAAAGATCAAGTACTCATATATTTTGATGATTCCTGAACAACTTGTGCTGCTTCAATAAAGATCTTTACTTTCTTTTCTATTTCCGATTTTTACTTCCCCTGTTCTACAACCTTATCGATGGCTAATGCCGAAAAATGCGTATCTATGATCGCGACGTCGCAAAATTTTGCGCATACTTTAAACATGTTTTCAACTTGTTGAAACTTGAAACTTGAAAAAACAATTTTCCTAAAATTGTTTTCGAATGTGTCCGCTCTATTCATAAATATTCCAAAAGATGTTAGAGAGATATTTTTGTTCGTTTTCTTCTGAAAAATTAGAAAAAATAAGGCTGTAGTTTTAAAGAAGCTGTGAAGGATCTTGTCAATGAACAATTTTAACCAACAATTATTAGGAATTGTAGTAAGTCGTAATCATGTGAAATGGTTGTAAAACCATGCAATTTTTCATTTCACGCGTCACAGTCATCCAAGAATTTTGAGCAAAAGTAAATGCGGCCGTCTCAAGTAGCAGGACCGAATTCCAAAGCGCATTTTATTGTCAAGAGTTCGCTAGTCCCAATAAAAGTGCGATCCTGTAAAAGAAATTTCTGGAAGCCTCTCTCTATTTTATAAAATTACAGTACATAACCTGCCGTTATGAAACCAGAGACAAACACCTTCCTACTGTGTCAGTGTCATCCTCTCACAAAATGCTACCACCGAAAGCGCAATTTTGCGGGAAATAGCTGCCGTCACGCCAGGAGGCATGTTTAAACCTCTGACGCAGCCGCATTTACTCATTAAGGTGATTCGATGGACGCCATATTTTGTGTCAGAACGGCATGCGATACATCGCATCAATTGGTTCCATTTTCAGCTACTCGTCATTTTTCTCCAATTTTGAGATCGCAAGTCTGTTGTCAGGAGACTAAAGCACTCACTTACCAATTTTAACAAAGAAATTCAACGTAATAAAGGCGTGGTTTTTTCAGAGAGAAAATATCGCATTCGAGTGCAGTTTCGATATCAGTATCGAATGCGATGTTTTCTCTCTGAAAAAACCACGCCTTTATTACGTTGAATTTCTTTGTTAAAATTGGTAAGTGAGTGCTTTAGTCTCCTGACAACAGACTTGCGATCTCAAAATTGGAGAAAAATGACGAGTAGCTGAAATAATGGAACCAATTGATGCGATATATCGTATGCCGTTCTGACACAAAATATGGCGTCCATCGAATCAGCTTAAAGTACGCTCCTACACACAGTGATCGGGGTTCCAAACGATGTAAATATTCGGCCTCTGAGGCCGCGCTAGGAAGTGTCGTTTCACAATTAAGGCGTTTCGTATGCGTCGACAAACTTTATCAAACAATGATCCACTAGACCAGGTCCTACGAATTTAAGCATTCTGGTACATGTTTGATAATTGGAATTTCACACAGAGTGTGATTCTTGCAATTGAAAATTACTAAAAACAACTCCTAACCAAGACTGTAACGTTTTTATTTTACATTGGTCACGAGAATTTTGAATTGCCGGGAAAGCAATTGAATCAGTGAGAACGAAAACACACCAACTCGGAAAAAAGAAAATAATAATCAAGACACACACAAAACTGTACAGTAGGTGAAGAAATTAGTTGAGGAAAGAGATTTTTGCTGCCGAAAGACAAGTACATACTTATGGCCACTTTAAAGGTCCAAGTTGGAACAGACGCGCTAACTTCAATGACCTTTGTGTAAATTAACTGTCTTAAGTGGAAATTGAGTATTTTCGAGTTACCGAGTTGGTGTATTTTCGTTCTAACTGATTCAATTGAACACACACAAGAATAAACGCAATTCTCTACGTGAGTCAAATCGCGCCTCACAAAAGTTTTGGCAGGCTTCTCAATCGAGCATTGTTCTTTTTCCACCCTTTATTGTGCAAAGTGTAAAAAATTTGCTATATCTTTTTTGGGATAAAACATGGAGAAACACCAGATTTTTATATCGGAAAGATTGTCATGGTAAAGTTTGGTGTGCTATTTGACTCACGTAGACTCTTAAGGTTTTCATGAGCGGGAGGTTTTAATTCACGCGTCAATAAACACTAAATATCTTAGTTAGGAGTTAATTTCAGTAACTTTCGTTGGGCAAATCGTGTTTCACGTGAAATTTTGGATAGGACTCAAGGATCAGAATGCTTAACTTTGTACCTTGTCTAATAGTCCATTATCTCACACACCCGCAAAACGCGCTGCTTGGGTTTTTGAATGATACAACTATTCGACCTCTGAGGCCACGCTAGGAAGTATCGTTTCACAATGAAGGCGTTTCTTATGCGTCGACACTCTTCATCAAACACGTATCTCTAGCAACCATATTACTCGCAAATCTACACTGCTACACTGTTGGGTGTTGATCGGGTTATCAAACGATGCAACTATTCGGCCTCTGAGGCCACGCTAGGAAGTGTCGTTTCACAATGAAGGCGTTTTTTATGCGTCGACACTTTTTATCACAAGCAACCGCACTTCTCAGTCATCTACCTACGCTGCTTCACGGCACTGTTGATTAGCGTTGGAAATGATGCCAATGTTCGGCACCTGAGTCGACGCGCCATTATCTTCGATAATGCTTCTTCTTTTTTGTTAGAGAAAAGCGCCAACGTAAGCGCTTTTTTATACTTTTTACGAAGAGAGACAGAAGAAGCCACGCCACCAAAAGGTGTTCCTTGTTTAAAAATTAAGCTCTGAAGGATAGTTGGACTTATTTCTGCCAAGTGGAATAAATAAATGAGATTTCAGTTTCTTTTGAGGATTTTAGAATCTCGGATAGCGCGTTATATCAAACGAAACTAAGCGCCATGGAAAAGCATTGTGAAGGTCGGAATAAGCTCCGTGGTCCCCAGCACTCGCTGATCAAACTCGCCTTTCCTTATGGCACTTAGTTCCGTTTAGCAGAAATACGTCCAATTTTCTGTCCCAAGAGACGATTGGTGACCTCGTAGGTATCAATGCCATTTTATCTTCGCCCCCTTTTTTGTCTATTCCCACTAATTTCCTTCTTTTTTCCCCTGTGCCATCTTCCTCCCCTCCCCTTTTACCCATTTTCTTTTCTCTTTCTTCTTTCTTCATAAATTTCTTTTCCATTTTGGCGCCTGTGGTAGTACCTACGGCGCTTGGTTCTGCCGTCTTGCGCTCGCGACGGCAATACCCACAAGGAACAATAAATCAAGATATGGGAAGTTGGATATGCAAGGTATAAGAGGGGTCTCAAAGTTTCATCGTTAACGTTAGTACCAATTTTTACGTTACTCAAAATTTAAGCATCCAGTTTATCATATTAGATTATTAGATTAGATCAATAATTTAAATTTTATGTTAAGTACTGGTTTAAAGCAGCGACTATATAACCTTGTTGAAAAAGTCCTGTGTTTATATGTATTATTATACCAATAAACGAATTTAAAAAAGAAAAAAAAAAACGTTACTACCAACATAAACGTTGCGGCATTGTTCTCGCAACTTTTCAACGTTAATTTTGACTGTTGCCGAGTGGAGGGGAAACAATCTGGGGAGGAGTCGAGACTTTTGAAAGTTAATAAGTGACGCGTGTGGCGAGCGTCGTCCGGGTCTTGCTGTGCAATATAGATTTTGATATTTTGGTCATTGTCGGATGACTTTCTTTACGAACCACCAAAATAAGCGAAAACACGCAAAACACGTGACCAGCGGGTGTAGGTGCAGGGGCACAAAATACCTTGGGGCTCATAGTATACTTGGTTATAGGACATTTCGTCAACGATTTTTTGTTCGCGCACCAGTTTTTCCAGTTGGCTTTCGTTCACGCGTTTTTCCGGCACGGGAGTTTTGGTCCACATACCAGTTGAGACCCAAAGTTACTAGGTCCACATGTAAATACAAACGACAATTTATTGCTCACGACGTTTTTGGTTGAAAATGTAAAAGATTTTGGAAGAATGAGGGTTTGCCTGTTTTTTCCATGTTTTGTTTTCCTTTGGTCCAACGGAGAATAATATATAATTGGGATATTAGGTAATAATTGGGGAGCGTCAATTCTATGAGACAAAATTCACTAAAACTCTCGACACCTCTTTGGTGCAAGAGGACTTAATTATCTTTCAAGAAATTCCTACCTCGTTATACCTAACCGGGTAAACCTTTTGATTTGCCTCAGCTGAAGGCTCTTAGATTTTTCCTGTGTACGATAGGAATCTTGATTTATTTTGCGAGGAAAGATCTGTACTTTCAAAGGATGCATGTCATTCTTAATACGTTCAATTTCGTATAATACTGTGCAACACCTCTGTTGTGAAATAGTTGCTTAAGGCGCCGCCGCAAAACGGGCGGGCAGCCAGCGCGAGACGCGCATTGGCGCCTACAAACCTAAGTGGATACTTCAAGCATTCCGCAATGCGTGAAGTATCCACTTAGGTTTGTAGGCGCCAGTGAGCCCCTCACGCTGGCGGCACGCCACTCGGCTCTGTTTGGCTCTCATATTTATACTGGCAGAGTCATAGCGTTTTTTGACTCATAATTTTGAAATGTTTGCACACTCTGCATAAATTATTTTATTAAAAATCTGTATCAAAGGAGAATATAATGTGTGTTTTATAAATATTGGAGGTTCCGTGTCAAATTTAATGATTTCCAAAGCATTTAATTTTTTCTTTAACATTTTGTGTTTTTACTGTGCTGCGGCGAGGTGTACGCGCAACCATACGCTCAAAATTTGACGTTTTTTACTCTAAAAGATCGATGTACAAATGGGTTAAAACCAAGGATTGCGTGCTTCTTGGTTTTTTTCCTCTTTTATTCATTTTTACAGTTTCTTTTAACACAACTGCGGCTCATTGAGATTAATATCGATGCCATTGCTTGAAAAGGGTTTTACAAATATTTGTCACGTTTAAAAAAGGTAAATGTTTTCAAAATGAAGTAATAACAATATAAATAATATATTGTACTTCGAAAATTTTAAGGATAAAAATAAGACCAAATAGCCACCAATGACAATTTATAAAGATGAATCAAAAGAAGAAAGTAACATTTCATTTAAAAAATGAGTCACCACAACAACACCTCCTTCTCTCTCAATTTCTCATTTTAACATTGTCAATATAATTTTACATACGGACTAAAATATAACGCTTCGACCAAGTCACTGTTGCTTATTTTACGCGTGGACGTAAACTACTGGACAAAACAGGTGCAAGGACGAAAAATTGTTGACGAAAGGCCCTGAAACCAGCATACCTACCTACCAGGTTCTTGCACGCTGTGTCAACCTATTTGCTCATAAAAACAACGATTCTGCCTCTAATCGGTTTCCTGGGGGGTTGACTTCAGCATTAAGATATCGGGCGGCTCTCAATTTTTGAAAATATGGAGCTTACTCTTTTTTCTTGAGTACACACCTTTTACATACAGTTGTATTTACTATTGGTCACTTTTACATGCGTCGCAAAATATTGTGGAACTGGTAAGAATCAAGCACAAGAACCACCAAACTGAAAAAATCATCCCGGGTAACAGGCCTGACCTGGTGATCTGGTGCCTGAACAAAACCTAGGTGATCCTGAACATTCCGGTTTTGAATGAGGAACCAAGAAAGATTCAGCCGATCATGATTATTCGTGATTTCTGACATCCTGGGGCAAATAGGTTTCTCCAAAAGTGACAATGCTGATGCCTCTCATCCCTCAGTTTCAGAACAAACTTCCCGCAAATGCAAGTGTTGTACTAGAGGTTCTCAACGCCTGGGCAAAATTTCAACCTTTCTAGATAATTAGGATGAGGGAGCAGAGGGGCAAAGGTCCCATTTATACGAAAGGTTAAAATTCATTGTGTCTCCAAAACAGTTTGTGTGAAATTTTAAGAGTTGTAGTGTAAATTTAAAAAGTCAAAAGTTATTCTTTGCAGGAATATTTATGCTAGTTTGATGGTTGTACACTTTTTCATTGTTATAATTCAATAGTTTTAATTTTTATGGTTGATTTTCTATGTTTTTTTAGTATTTCATTGCAGCAATCTTTGCTTTTTGGGCAGGATCCAGTTGAAGTGATCTTCATAAAATTTCAATGATCTAACACTTAATTTGATCTTGGAGACTTGAGAAAATTGATTAGGCGATTGAAAAAACGATTTGAACAATTCTTAACCAACCCAAAGGTGGAGACTCTTTGGGTTAGAATTTTATGTTATTATCAGACACTGAAAATTGTTTTGTATCTTATTCATTTGAGGCTTTCCTTGCAGTGGCTTAAATTTAAAAGTGTAAAGAAATAAAAAGAAAATTCATGTGTACACATCCGGTGGGGTTAAAGTTTGAGGAAAGACAAGAAATTAGAGATATTTATTGAGAATTTTTTTTTTTAATTTTGATGTATATGCAGAAATGCATTTCCACAATATAATTTTTTTGGTCTTTCCAATTTTTATTTCTAACTAATAATAATTGCCTCCCATAAAATTGTTAACCTTAAAAGTAAGATATTTAACATTGCTTTCAAAATAATCAGATTTTCAGGAAAAATATAAAGATCATACGAACAAAAGAGAACTCATTTGCAAGAGGTAACAAACAATTCATAATTAAAAATATTTACAAATCAAATGTATAAAATTTTACTTCCTGTGCAGAAAAAGAAATTAAATTTAAAAACAAATTGACTTCCTTTTTTGATCACTATTCATTTAAAACTGATCAGTATAGTGTGCAGGATCCAACCGACGTTACTTGAATGAATTGTTAAATTTGAATATGTTGATTAAATTCTAAATATTTTCCTGATAAGGATTAATAACAAATAGATAATATGTGTGTTTGAAACTTGAATATGCTGTTGAATAAATACTACAAGTAAATAGTTTGTTGGAAAAAACTGATATATTTCAGGAAGAGAATGAAAACATCCAAATAGACTTTTCTGTAGACTTAAAATAAACAGTAAATCTTACAATATTTTTAGTCAACCAGTGCTATGACAGAAAACCTGGAAGTAAAACGGTCACTGGAAAGATCAGGGAGTATCTTCAGGCAGTAGAAAGAATGTAGGTCATTTCATTCACAGTAAGACCTCTGGTGATCCAACTTCATTTGAATAAATGTGAGCATGGGCAGATTTTTTGGGACTGATATTAGCATCTTGTGGATACTGTGACATAACAGAGCTCCTCATGGAGAATTTTCTTTCGTTTCACTACACTGCAAAACAGATTACAATAGAATCGCATTTGCAATAGTAAACATTCTAATTTTTTTTTTAAAACACATTTTTGAAACAAAAAAAACTTGAATCTTTTTTGGTGCTGCTGAAGATTAGGGCTTTCCATAAAAGACAAAATGATGTGACATCTCTTTATCAACCTCATAAAAATTCAAAATTGGTTATTCTTAATTCATGAGTATTTATTCCTTGTTTTTCTATCTTAAAGAGAAAAATTTTGCAAGACCCTTCGACTAGATTTATTTTTGAACAATCCTTTCTGCAAGCTGATTGCAACAAAATATGTTGTTCCATCTTATTTTTGACGGTGATTGCATCTGAGTTTTTCTTTCATGCCCATAACATGAAAAATATTACTTACAGAACTTTCTAAAATTTGTGTGGATAAACGGTGCTGTTGAAAGTGCCATCACCAGGGGGTCATTTTTAACTGTTTTGGTATTGTAATAGCTGTCATTCTTAAAAATTCCGAAATTGTGAATTTTGAACGCGGCAAACACTTTTGAAACGATTCTTCATAGATGTATAAAACACTTCTAGAGCGAACACAATATGCTCAAAAAAATGTGAGGATCTGTCGAAAAGCATGATTTGCCGAATACTTTTAGCAATTTGACACCTTGCGTAAGGTCATTAGAATAATTTTTTTTAAAAATCTTTTGTTTCCCTTCAAAGCTCACTAATTTGACATTTTTTAGAAAGTCAGTTATTTGAATAACAACAAAGTTAAAAATAAGGACAACCTTAATAGCCTTACTGGGAAAAAAATCCATTATTGGAGGGATCTATACGATATATGCTTTCCTTTCCAAGGAAAATTCAGAGACCCCTTATGTATGGGGATAGAAGGGGAAGGGTTGACAAAAAATGTACAGTTTGGTAAAATCATGTATATGCAACCGGAGGAGAGAAGGCGTTCCAATCACACAGGTGTTCTAAAAAACAATAATATAAAAACTTTCTTGAATGATTCGATAGTTGTCTATGCTTTCGAGATACAAAGGTGTGGCTGAGCATTTCCTCTCCTCCAAGCAAACTGAATCAGACATGATGACTTAATCTAAGTATTCACAATTCACAGGCATAGTTTCCGAGTGCTTAAAGCATAAAACATAAAATTTGCGCAGAAATTTTGGAAGGAATAGGAGTAACTTTTCAGCACCATCTGGATTCATTCATTGTTAGCATAATATCCGCTGAGGTCTATGCTAGTGGCAAGAACAATTAGGCTGAGATACCATTTTGTATTTCTTGTTTACAGGGACTCGCTCGTTTTTTGCTGGAAAAGAAAACATAGTATTTTTCTTAGTAAACAGCACAGAAGATTTTATGGATCAGCAACTGTCCTTGGTTGTTGAGATTGCTACAAGGTTCAAAGTCATATTTTACAACATTAAATAGGTTCTGCTTTAACTGAGTGAATATGTAAGGACAGTAAATGGGGTGATGTATGTGAAAACCCACCAAGTTAGAACATCTCAAGCTGGTCCATCACCAAGTGCTCATAGTAACTTCCCTCTTACACTGCCTTGCGCTGGTGAGAGTTGGGTACAAGAGGGGTCATTCGAGCACACCTCTCACTAAAGCAGAGATTTCATTTTGGAATGAGAGCAGTATTAATCAATTTGATTGAGTGTGATGAATAAAAATTGCAAATAAAAAAAAAAAAAATTGGGTAGAAAATCACATTTTCAAATATTTATTGTAATACAGTTCCTTATAGTTGCTTGAAAGGATCATTAAGTAAATTCAATCTGGTGACCCTTTGTTTTTTTTTAAAAATTGATTAAAAGCAGAGTTCACCTCTCAAAAAGGGATTCAGAGTACGTCGATAAACATTGTTGTTAAGTCTAACGCTATTAACTGATTCACGAGCCAGCTGCTTGGTTCACCAAAAAATTTGATTCTCTTTGCCCGAAATTTGTCCGATTGAGTTTAGTTGGAATTTGAAACGCTATAAAAAAAAGCTGAATATTTTACCTCATCTGTCAAATCTGTTAACTTCCAGCCTCCTTGACCATCAAATTGGAGTAACTGCGTGTGGAATTTCCATAGAGAGGGTCTATGCGTAATAGTTAATAAGGTGATGCCAGCATCTTTAGCTGCTTGGTACATATTACTTTCAACATCTATACTAACTGCACTTGTACACTCATCTAGCAGAGCAAAAGCAGGCCTGGAAATGAAAAATGATAAGTATACACGTAATCTCCAATTCAGATTGTTTATGAATCCATGAACAGAGTTTTTACAATTCAGTATTCTATTAATCCACAGTGACATAATTCCGTAACACTGGCTATACCCATGTCCACTGACCACCTCCATATCGGTGGTAAAAGTGTAAAACAACGTACCTTCATTGCGGTGTTTCGAAAATTCTGCTCCATTTTTATTTTTTGAAGAGGAACAAGCTGACTTTGTAACTTGAAATTTAAACAGAATATTCTGCTGACAGAATTAAAAGTTCAAAAAATGTTCAAGAAATTACGCTGACTAATATTTAAAAGAAAAAATTAAGTATGACAGATGGTCCACAATGTCACAAACGGAGATACGTGATTTTGCACTTTGGCAATCAATAAACGTACAGAGTGGGTCTGTAGCATACTGTCTATCCACATCAGGCATGTAACTTAGAGATAGGTGCATGCGAACAGGTTTCAAAATCAATACAATAAAATATTATTTAAAAAATTCAAAATTTATGATTAAAAACTAACCATTTTTACGTATTATATTTTCCTAGAGCCACAGGGAATAGATACACTGGGTACTAATCTTCTTGTAAAAAAAATTAAGGTAGCGAAATTGACGATTAATAATTGCCACAAGTGTCATCAAGTCTTTGGTGGTGCCTTGGCTAGTAATATGAATTAACAATCTTCTTTTCCCCATCTATATTTTTACCAAAACTGCTGAGTTCATTTTTTCCGTCAAAAATCGAAGGAAATGCTAAAATCGTCATCCTATCATGACTATTGAGGTAACACATTGGTGATGATGACATCAGATGGTACCACAGCATTCTTAATTTCAGATTAATAATTTCTCTTACTGCATGGCATAGTAAGATAGTAGAACTTTTGCTTCGTCCTGTTAAAACAAACCCGTCCCACACTTCGGACATGGGGGAGGGGGGGCTACATGTGAATATATTTGAAAATGCTCATAAAAAGGACAGTCTTAAAATAACAGGGTGACTTGAAGAGGGCTTTTAATAATTAAAAGGGAAACAAACCTATTTTCTACTTTCAAAAGAATACAGCAAAAAAGCAAAATCAAAGAGAAAAATGGGACTTACTTGTGGTAGAATAATCGAGCAACCGCCATCCTTTGTTTTTCGCCTCCTGAGAGGACATCTTTCCAGTCGGCAGCTGCATCCCATCCACCTTCTCTGGTAACAAGATGCGCTAACGAAACACGTGCTAGGCACTTTTCAAGATCTGTATCACTGAGTCCTTTCTTCTTCATATCCGAAACTGAGTCAGGGTATATGACTTGCTCTCGTAAACTACCTAATGTCATGTATGGTCTGTGCAAAAATAGAAATTAACAATCAGTTTAAGAAAGCATGTAATTAACAGAAATTATACTTTAAAAATGAGCATTAAGATATTCAAGATATGAAGACAGGTACTCCTATGACATCATCAACAGGTATCACAATGACGTGTTATCAGGTGTTTTGATGATGTCACCAATGAGTGTTTTAATGACTTCAACGAAAGCCCTAATGACGCCACCAAATCACCAGGCAAAAGGGTTAATGGGTTCTTCCTGTGGCATCATCAACGACAGCCCTGATGATGTTATCAACGGGCATTATAAATGCTTCTTTACTGCCTCGAGAGACTACCATAAGAATGTTTTTTTGCAGTAAAAGAATAGAAATATTTTAATAATACATTTTTTAAGATGAAAATTTGCTGATACACAAAAGAAAAACAGGAGGTATTAGGCCCACTTTCATGAACTGAAATACCATAAAACAAATTCTACAGGTGATACACATTTTGGAATCTTAATAATTTGTAGAAAAGGAGGAGGGAAAAAGTGATTTAATTTCCATTTTGGAGGATGAAGGTAATGTCACGCAAACAAACCTTGCTATCAATATATCATGGTCAAATGAGATGTCAAAAGTCTTAAATAAAGTTGTTAATTTTTTTTGGCATTATTAATTAAACCTTTGGAAGTCCAGAAATCTTTTCAGGTAGTCTTCCTGCTGATGCGGCAGTATAAGGTACCCTAATGAGGTGCTATACACAAAGAGGGGCATAAAGGGGAGTTTAAAGGGGAATTTAGCCCCAACCTATCCTCCAGACCGAACAAAAACATTTGTAACGTGTGAATGTTTTAGGCTTGGAGTGAAAAATGTCAAAATCGAGAATCACTGTTTCTAGAAGTTTCTTGGCCTCCTGAATGCATCCCCAAAAGTTCCAAAAAAATTTCAAGAAATTTCAGGCGTAAACCTTTCATGAAATTTTCCATCTTTGATCCAAGTCATCAAATAAGGCAATCACAACACCTGACCTTGATACATCTATAGCACAGTTTTATAGCTTGAAATTAGCTTAAGAGACTTAAGCCATTGAAAAAACAAGGGAGAGAAAGACAATTCACTATAATATGGCCCATCTTCTGTCTAAAAGCTTTGAGTATTTATGATTCTAGTACGAACCTCTGAGGAATATAAAACATTGAACAGTTAAGGGGTCGCTGAAGTTCACCAGCGTAAACTGGCCACAGGCCACTAAGAACACGGAATAAGGAGGATTTTCCACAGCCATTGGGACCAGTGATGAGCAGGTGGTTCCCTGGTTTCATTGTTAAAGTTAGACTTGGGATCACCACATCCCCATTTGGTGTGACTATTGGAACATCCTTTAAAGATATACTTCCATCTGGTGAATTCCGGATAATACCTGAAATAAATATGAGAGAAAATAAGTACTTTCAGTAAATTTTTTGGGGAGGACAATAGCGATTACTTTAAGGAGTCTGAGCAAAATTTTAGAATTCATGGAGATATCTTACACATGTGGATACCTACAGTCACTTAAAATTGCAACATTTCAAAATTTGTTTGTTTAGGGTAAAAGTGCTTACTTAAATGAGATTCAAGTTGATAAAAGTAATTATTTTCTATGGATTGGGCAAACATTTAAAATGGAGTGGTGCCAGCTAAAAAGGTCGTTTAAAAAGAATATATTTTGTTTCAAGTTTCTGAAAGTCGTGAAAGTAATTTCCACAGAAATAAATTGATCAACACGAGTTTGCTGATTATTTAAGTTCTTCTGTACATGAATGAACTGCACATGGACATAGCAAAAATCTAATGCCGCATCAATGCATTAGGTACTCTTAGCATCTTACATGTAGTACTTTTGCAATGTTGCCGGAAGAGAAATTCTTTTTTCTGGAGAAACCAATTTTGCTGCAGAATCATACTTAAATAATTAGTGTTTTCTTCAAAAAATTATTACAAACCTTTTTTCAACAACATTCATTGACTAGGTACTGCTTCTTTCATTTAGGATGTGCAAAAATTATGGATACTTTTTAATAATTCTTCTTCTTCTTCTGTTGGTTTATTGTCTTATTTTTAATAATTCAAAAATGGTTGCAGACATTGTATTGCATATTACTCGTTTTTTTTTTCTTTTTTCTTTTTTTTTTTTCAGGGAGTATATTCTGCTCTTATTCTACAATCTTTGCCAAAATAAAGAAAAATTATGGTTTTCTCAGAATTTGGAGAGACTGCAGCTCAGACTGGGGGCACGTTTGGAAAAAATTTACGGAGGAAAAAAGTCTTATTTAGGCCTCTAGAGAACGCCCCTGCAGTCTGGCCCTTTAAACCTGGGACACCCTGCTTGGAATCATTTTCTTACATGAACCATCACGTTTATAAAAATTTACACTTCACAAATAAAAATCTTGCTTCTGATCATGACAGCTTTATTTGGAAGAGATAAGTTACTCACCTTTGACTAATAATTGACCATTGCTATCATATTGAAGAGAGGGAGTCGCACTCCACTGTTTTATTGAGTTCACAGTTGTCTTTTTATACTTCCCTTCACTAACTTCCTCAAAAACATCAAACATTGCTCCTACCCTTGATGTATAGCCAGCTAATTCCACAACTTCCTAAATTGAATAAAAAGAAAAAAGTTGATTAAATGATTAGATTCATCTTGAAAAAGCATTATAATAACAAGGAATTTTAATTTCTTTCTCTAGCCGCTATTTTCATCCCCCCTCCCTTCCCCTGAAGACGGTGATCATTTGTTGAATACAGATTCCATTCAGCTCTTTTTGGCTGTATTTTGCCATTTTTAGCATGTTCAGCTGATGACATAAATGTAAAATCCTTTGAAGACGCCACTGGGGCACACAATTTTGGCATTTTTAGGCCATCTACTTCCTGCTGTATTCAGCCATTTTGAATTTTTCCGTCTGATCACGTCATTGAAGCCCCCATTGATGAAATCTTCGGGCACCCTATGTGATGTCATCAGGAAGCAATGTTTGGGCAGTTTTTGTCCTTTGTCTGTCACTTATGGCTATTTGCCGCTTTTTTGGGTTATTTCAGGCCACCTTCCAGATTTTTTCGAGGAATCACGAGTGTTTTAAAAATGTCCGCAAAATATTGTATATATGCGCATCAACAGATATGAAATCAGCTTGTTTCATTTTCGTTTCTCCCTTTCTTATAAATTGATCCGCTGGTGAAAATCAGCTATAAGACTGAGAGAATTTTACAGTACCTATTTTGGCAAAGACACCAACCTTATATGAGGACATCAGTCGTTCTACAGCATCTGCACCATTAACTAAGAGATTTCTTGCAGTTGTTAAATACTGAGTTCTGTCACTAACACTATCCGCACCACCTAAAATTAAAAAAAATATTAAGAGATAAGCAGAAGAGGAAACAGAAAATTAGAGAAGATGAGAGAGAGAGAAAAAAAACCATTCAGCAAGTTGCGTAGCTTACGCACTCATAATTACGAGACAGGGAAATAATGAGACAATCTCGACAGCTTTTGTATTTTTGTTTCTTTGTAAGTAAAGTCATAATGTGCTAATCAAGAAGTTCTTAGTTCCGCCCACGTCAGCATCGACTTAAAAGTTGTTCCTTGCAGATAAATCTACAGCAACGTAGATTAAATTGGTTCAATTAAAATTCAATACAAGGAGAAGGTACGCGGAAAAGTCGGAGTCGGCGCCTTTTTCAGTTGACATAAATTTAAATTTAAATTTACTTTTGTTGCGAGAATTACGGATGCTTCAACTACGCCCAAACATCGGACCCGCGGCAAAATGAGATGGTTACCTACGGAAAAAGTTGGATATCTCTGCCACCAGTAGATCTAATTTAAAACACTTCAGCTCGTTTCAAACCTAAAAATAAGGCCACCTTTACTTTTTTACAGTTTTGCTTCATCTGTAATACTGCCGTGCTAAAGGAGAACGCCGTAAAAAAGCCCACAAGCGTTGCCAAGTTTCCTACCACACAACTCAGTTTTTCTCGGGAACTTGATTAGATTTTTTGTTTCAATGTTTGGGAAAATTTTGTTTGCAACCGGATCTGCAATAACAAAAACTTCCAGCGAAAGATATTCTCGATTTTTCTATAGAATAAATATTTGTCAAGGGAGCTTTAGTAACACAAGGGAAAAATTGAATTGCTGGTTGAACGGTTTTATAGCTAAAAAAAAAAAAGTGACTGCAATGTTTCAATGTAGATTTTACGACAAAAAAAATGCTACTTCAACATCACAAAAATGATATTTAAACCAATCCCGTGGTTAAATTAGCTTTCCAGTATTGTAAAATGTACATTTGAAACATTGCGGTCACTTTTTTAAACAATTGAATTATTAAATCAGCGATCCATTTTTTGCCGTGCATTGAAATGTCTGTGCGCCGTTCTTCCGTAACATTGCAGAATAGTCAGAGGCGATTCCAGCAAGTTGGCAGCAATATCAATACTGCATTTAAACCCATTGAATATATCGATTCTAGGCGAGACACGATGGCTCACCTAGAATCGATTGTTTAATATACATTTAAACGGAGAAAAAACAATGTTGCCAACGAGAGGTGGAAGAGTAAAAGGGGAGAAAGATCATATTACCCGGCATCCGGGAGCCAGCGATGATGGGAAGAGAGATCATGATCATGCCGGTTCCACTCCAGACGTACTTCATAAGGAACTGCTCCAGAACAACGTACCATAGCCTCTGCATGAAGATGGTATTTTTGTGAGAAACCAATGACTGGTAGGCTGCCTCCAGATGTGTCAATTCCACCTACAACAGACGAAGAAGAACAATCAGGTTAGGTTTGATTAGGTAAGGAGAGAAAAATAATATTTTCTGTCGTGAAAAGAGGAAATAAAAATTGAAAATAAATACACCCGCCGAGCTATACTGCCGTGCCAAGGTATAAAATGCCGTATAAACATTCGAGATTTGCCAAATTTCTCTGATAAAATATGTATTTTTGAGGAGATTTGTGCATAAACTTCCTTGAAATTTTCAATTCGTTTTAATTAGATTGCGAACAAAACTGACTGAAAATTTTGAAGAAAAACATCAATAATTTTCCCGGTAAATTCAGTTTTTATTGAAGGAAATATGGCAACATCTGAAGGCTCATGCGGCGTTTTTCCTTAGTACGGCAGTATATTGCCCCCATACACGAGCAAATAAGTGAAAAATTGAGCACTGAGCACAGAGTTCAAGATCTTGGAAGAATAACGGATCAGTCACGCTAGTCACATCGTGTTTTGATGGTTTAAGCTTATACATCATTATGAAACATTAAGCTTTGTTCAAACGCCAAGTTTCTCCGTCCAATCTAAGGGCTGCAACTCGGCCGCCAACCATCGAAAAAAAAAAACTACACGTAAAAATTCGTAGAACATCATGTTTAAGTTATTTCAGATATGGATGGATTCAAAAGTCGACGGGTGCACGCGAAAGAAAGCGCGTTTATCTCTGATTGCAACGTTATGCATCACTATTATGTTTTATTTTTAATCAATGTTTTTAAAAAGCTATACAAAATTTTTCTGAAAAGTTTCCGCGACTTTTCCTAAATGATCTCAAATAAAAGCATCGCAAAAGACGCGATAGTTTCGTTCGCTCTATTTCCTTTTTATGTAATCAATTAAAATTAAATATCATCCGATACTTATCACCCGATATTAAATTGTTGAAATATTCCTACAGTTTTGTAGGCGCTAAAAGGCGTTTCACGGCAACTGACCGACTGCGTGGCGTTTGGTGAAATGCGAGAAGTATTCAGGCAGTCTTGTAGGCGCTAACATGCTCCCGACGCCGACCTCACCGTTTGGCGCAATGGGCAATGCGTGAAGTATTCCAACAGTCTTGCAGGCGCTAATATGCGTTTAACGCTGGCCGCGCTGTGTTTGGCGCGATTATACGAACTTTGAACTTCGAACGATTATTGGAATAATCGCGGCACTTTGCTCCTCCAAACTTTTTTCCTGCTTTTATTTAACTCATTTTTTCAATTTTTTTAAATGAGGAAGAGGCTAACTTCATAGCTTAAAATATATACAGAATATTCTGCTGAAGGGGAAGAAAAATTAAGATAGCTTCAAATAAAGCACGTTGAGCAGTTTTAGTAGGAGAAAATAAAGTTTGGCAGGAGTCCGCAACGTCGCGCCGCTCTTTATAAATCGATTTGTTAATATCTCGTTCAAAAGTTGATCTCCGAACTTCCCGGTGTGTGAATAGATTTTACGTAAAATTTTGAAGAGAAGATAAGTGACGTTTATTTCTAGGTCAAACCTCGAGTTAGGTACGAGTATCGAATACGATACATTGTTTTTGCTAGTATACATGGATAGAAATTTCAACGAAAAAGTTTGGCTAATACGGGAAGTAAAACACAAAATAGCCACAGCCTTCGGTTGAAAATTTCAAGAGAAAATGCCAGCTAGTTTTCTTGAAGAAAGATAAAAAAAACGAGTGATGAATAACAACGTCGTAATCTGAGACATGCATTTTCCTAGTCTTTCCATTTTCTTCTATGCTGAATTCACCGCAAACTGTACCAAAATCAACACAAAATTTGTGTTGGCTTGTGTTTCACTTCCTGTATTAACCGAAAGTAACACAAGAACACAACTTTTTTTTATCAGTGTACAAGCTTTTAACATCAAAAAACTATTCCGTAACCGACGGAACTGACCCGTTGCGCAGGCAAGCAAACTGGGATGAGGAGTCCAATCGCGAGTCCATTGAATCATCCGAAAGGCCTTAAGGTATTGCGGCATCTATTGAGGCATGAGACTACTATACTGCCGTGCTAACGAAAAACGCCGTATGAGCCTTCAGACGTTGCCATACTTTCTTCAATAAAAACCCAATTTACTAGGAAAATTGTGGATATTTTTCTTCCATTTTTTTAGACAATTTTGTTCGCAATTTTATCTAAAACGTCTGCAAATTTCAAAGAAAAAAATTCATAATTATCTTCAAAAATAAACTTCTTATCCGAGGCGATTTGGCAACTCTCAAATGTTCATACGACGTTCTTCCTTAGCACGGCAGTGTACTTATTGAAAGCGATCAGCCGCCAAAGCCACGTCATGCGTGCGCGGTTCTGTAGCTCCGACGATTACGGAGTGAAAGTCGTTTGGAGAGGAGAGAAAAAGTTCGGAAAGGTAATTTCTCGCCGTTGCCATTGCCATCATATAACAATATTTTAACCAATGGCGTGGCGTGCTTTCCAATATATAGATTGATCTGCCATTTAAGCCTCTGAAAAAGGATCGATAAAGAGGGTGTTCGCAACGAACACCTTATTCTACACCAATTCTAAAAAGACAAAAATTGATCTCGTTTTGTATACGCTGATAGCGCCAATTATAAATGCGTAACTCTACTTGCAGATATCGTCCGCTTTAGGTTCCCTTTCCAATTAAAGAAATTCCGACATAAACATCAAAATTTGCAGTTTTGACAAAAAATTTCTTGTCCGACCCCTTCCTGTGGTTCATGGAGGGTGTCAAAAAATCAGTACTTTTTCAGTACATTCCCAAAAATTCAGGACCTCAACAGAAAAATTCAGTTTTTTCTCAGTACCTTCATTTGACGGAATTCGAAACATTTAAAAAATTTGAATTTCTCTTTCAAATTACGACAAAAATGAAAAATTCCGGACCTTCTAGCGGAATTTCCGCACTTTCTCGGTACTTCCGGACCGTCCTTAAAAAAATCAGTGCTATTTCCGGACTTTCCGGAAATTCCGGACTTGTAGACATCCTGTTCGTCCCACTGTGCGGCGCGCAGCGCCAAGACCGTGAGTACCATAAC